TAAAATTCATTGAAGGATAATGTAATGAAGATAATATAAATTTGTTCACCCTTTTAAAATATTGAAGAAAATGTTATAATTCAATATTATTTTAAAAGATATCCATAATTGTTATGTTCGTTAAGTTGAATGCTACTACCGATTCATCTTACTCGGAACGGAACGAAGAATCAAGGATTCAGAGACTCGATAGGCTATACTGGTCCGTTGTCCCCAACTCAGCTAACTCGATCCTGAAGTCTTGATAAGATGTAGAAGGTGTATTCTACAGATAACCAGAAGATACTAGGTCCATCAAGCACACAAATCAAGCGTATTTATACAAAATATATATAATCGATATTGCCATGGAAGTTTTTAAACATTTAATCGATAAGTTCGTCAATCGACTATGTGAGTGGGTGGTAAGAAATGCCCATGCATACATCTGTATACAAGCTCCACAAAGATAAAATTACAAAATATGAGTTTTAGGGATCTAACGTCCTCAACAATAATAATAATCAAAGATGAATGGTGGCTAGTAGTGAAATCCAATTTGATGTAAGTTTCATCTTATTTAGGTTTCGTTCACTTCGGGACTCGAACCCAAATACTGTTCGTTTGAAATACCATCAAGTGATTCACTTAACCACTGAGTCTTAATATCGAGGCAATCCTCATGTGACGCACATATGTCAATAACTGAATGATCAATTATAGATCTAAACAACAATAGGAAGATATAAGCAAAGAATATTAAAAGAATATTCATCATTATATATTAATTAAATATTACAAGGCTTGAATTAGATACTTAGATAGTTGATTAAATGTAAACATTTGGATGATAATTAATAATAAAATAGGTAATTTATTTAGGATCTTTAAAAAGTGAAGTTATTGTCATAGGTTAACAAATTGATTATTAATACATTTTATAATGTAGAAATCATTTATCATGGTAACATAAGTCAACTGAACCTAGTCCAGCATGGAAAACCTGGAATTACTGGACGGCCGTTCCATCCTATTATGCAATTCCTCAGGAGTGCACATTCACGATTCCGCTTCTCGAGATTCGAACCCAGAATCTGTCAGTCTCGCGAGTGAGCGCTTATCCACTAGACCACTGAGCCGGCATCCAATGGTGTTAATATCTAATTATATTAAATGATTTGAGGTTATATTCATTATATCTTAAGCTGTACTATTGATTATTAACAGTTGACAGTTTAGCATTATCTCGAACATCATCATCAGTACACATGAAATGAGTAAGTTAATAGTTGAATTCATGAGTCAATGTAAGCTAGACCACCATGGAGAACCTAGAAAGACCGTTTCGTCCTTGTATGAGACTCCTCAATAGTGCGCATCTGCGATCCTGTAAGCCGAATTCAAACCCAAGACCTGCCATCTCGCGTGCGAAATCATAAACTTCAAACAGTTAAGCCAGTATTAAACGCTATTATTATCTAACTTTAAGTAATCGACAGTTGTGTACAACCAACGTCCATGTTTTTAATTATACTGTAACAATGATTGGTTTATGACCTCAATAAAACTTAACAATCTCCACAACCCTTTATTGGTAATCAAATAACACACTGGATTGTGCAAAATGAATCAAAATCTTTAATTAAATGTCAGTAGTACCAAGGGTATGGAAATGTTTTCTAGTTATTAAATATCAAAACAAATTCTTATACAAATAAGCATCATCGTATATCAAACAATAAAAAGTTCGCAATAATTTTAATAATATTGTAGATCACCAGCATAGTTGATCTATATCGAATGATTGGAGGCCAAATCACGTTAGATGGGAATGGTGTGACGAATCAGCTAACATCGACGTCGCATCTCATGGTCAACATACTACGTGGATTACATCAAGGTACTATAGATGCTTTGAAGACTATACAACACAAAGGACGTTATTACAGAAATATATTAGTTAAAGTAGATACAAGTGAAAGTAAGATCACTGCTGCATGTTTCAGTCCATGGCATAAGATTAACGGATGCGCGTTTGGTCGCCGTTGACCTTGACGAGGATCGATGACTTGCTCGATATTCAATGCCCCAACTGCCGGATTAGGGCTTGGTGACATTTCAGTGACCCATTGAAATATCTGTTTACGGTGTTATAATATGTACTAGAACCGAAGATTTAAATATTTGGTTCAGTATTTCTAATGAATTAATGTAATATGTAAAGATGTCGTTCAGAAGAACGATGAAAGCTCCACGACCAAACCATCCAGCTCAGAGAACAAAACTCCACCAAAAGTAAAGTTTAGTTTATATTACAAAGTTGCTTTATCATATCCATTAACTAAATTCAAGAATAACAAATAAATGATAAGTGAAGTTACAAATAACAAATAACACTATACAAAATGGGTTATGTTTAGAAATTGAATCAAATAAGCCAAAATCACTCCTTTTGTAATGAACGTGAACACCAATGACAACAATCCAATGTATTTAAACATAAAATTACAGAACATCTTAGTGCAATTTGAAAATCAAACAGTGAATTATTCATTTGCAAAATGTTCATTAATTGTTTCAAACTTCATAATTCCTGTATTTCCATACCAATTGCTTTCTATTCCTATTCATTCCTCCTCGATCTTTTTAACATTCTACTGCCAGACATACTATTCCAAACTAGTTTTATATACTACTTATGTTGACATAATTAGCACATACAACACTCTACTTCAAATAGTTGTCTACGAAAGATATTCAACATCCATTGGCCAGATACCATCAGCATCAGTCTACTGTAGAAGAGAACAAGCCAGCTTTCAGATGAAGAGGAAATTAGGAAAAGATGATGGAAATGGATAGAACATACATTATACAAATCACCAATTTGAATCAAGAGGCAAGCGTTAACTTGGAATCCTAAAGTGAAACGGAAAGAAGGAAGACAAAAGAACATATTACGTTGGTAAATAGAATCAGATATGAAAATGATAACAACTGGAAGGAGCTGGAAAGGATTGCCCAGAACAGGGTTGGATGGACAATGCTTCTGAAGGATCTATGCTCCTTCATGAGGAGTAACTAGCGTAAGTAAGTACACTCAATTTTCATCAAACTAAACATTAGAGCAATTCATATTCTATATGTTTTCTGTAAAACATAATCATCCGAGAAACTTCACCAAAAGAAAATTTCTTACAAATCGACTTATTATTAAAAACTTATTTCTATGAATTAGGAAATAAATTTTCTAATCTTGTGATTGAAAACCTATCAGATATTATAGATAGAAGTATGAATCATTTCTTAATTATAATTTCTCGTAATACAACTGTGAGAATAATCCACGGATGAACTCAAGGAAACTATAAAAATCTCAGAAAGAGTCGAAGATATTCCATCCAATCATCTTTTGCAAGAATATCATTGGATCTCTACGTGTAGCTTCCCGATTGGACAATGCTAATAATCCCCTGTATGTGAAGAATCAAATTTCGATAACCTCATATCAAGAGTTGTTGATTCTCACCATTTAGTCATTTTTAGTAGATTCTCTATTCAATGCGAAAAAGGTTTTTTTTTAAAAATAAAGTCAAATTAATTGTAACTTAAGAATATGAGAATCCACCACTGATTCGTAAGGGAAGATAAACTCGAAAAATCTAAAATCCGGATATCAACTCTGGATCTTCCAAAAAAAGAGAGGGAGCTATTATATCCCAATAAGAAGACTAATGTTAACTTTTGCGATCCATTTACGGACCAATACTATGCGTATATTTTTATCGGGATATAACACTATGAAACATTTCAAAGTTTTACAGCCAGTGTATATTAGATGAATATGATATTGTTAGTCATTTAGAAACAACGTCAATCAACTAACTGGATGAAATGTATTCCATTGTGTAACACATGTATTTAAAACAACAATTCATGCGATAATGTTCACTAGTATATATTTCAATATTTAAAATCACGAGTCAATTGAAGCTAGACTATCATGGAAAACCTAGAAGCACTGGATGATTGTTTCGTCTTAGTATGGGGCTTTTCAGCATTGCGCATCCACGAACCCGTCCCCCGCGAGATTCGAACCCGGGACCTATCAGTCTCGCGCGCGAGCGCGTTACCAGCTGAGTTCAGCCAGGTCTATTGTGAAATATCAGCTCACTGAAGACAATGGTATACGGTGGCACAATTTCGTGGATTAGTTGAAGTTAGACATTAACACCACTGGATGTTGGTTGGCCCAGTGGTCTGACGGTCAAATGTTCGCTCGAGCAAGACCGATAGGTCCTGGGTTCGAATCTCTAGATGGCCGGGTTCGTGGATGCTCACTTCTGAAAAGCCTCATACTAAGACGAAACGACCGTCCAATGCTTCTAGATTTTCCATGGTAATCTAGCTTCAACTGACTCATAATTTCAACTATTGTAATTTCTAAACTCTCCACAAAACCCCTTCTGATAGTATAGATTTACTTAAATATTATATTTTTTTGAAGTCTACTATCTTCAATTATATGATGTAATCAACTTTATCTATTATGTTAATTAACCCAGTCTAGAGACTATATTGTATCTTGTTAGACAAGATTCATTTGGTAAGATAATGTAAATTATTATTGTTACTATCAGACTATTTTATGTTTGATTATCTTCATTGTTTGTTTTTTTCTTCTTTTCAAATCTAAGAAAAAAGGTGAATTAAGTCTAGACGAACATTGTTTTTTTAATAAAAGTAAAATTCTTATTCAAATTATAAACAATAAATTTGTTTTGATAAGTAGTATTACTACTATTATTACTACTATTGTCACTATTATTACCATTACCATTACTATTAATATTATTACTATTATTATTATTATTACTATTATCATTGTTACTTTTAGTACTATTACTATTATTATGATTAATATAAATGTGTAGTGTAATTGTATAATTAAATTTATTTTTCGATGTATTTTATATTTTTCTGCGCAATTTTTAACATAACATATTTAGTGTCATTTGGTGATGAAGAGAAAGGCCAGTAGCAATAATAATAATAATAATAATGATAATAATAATAATAATAATGGTATTAATAATGGTAGTAATAATAATAGTGATGATAATAATGATAATAGTAATAATGGTAATAATAACAGTAATAATATTAGTAATAATAACAATGATAATAATAATAATAATGGTAATAATAATAGAAATAATAATAGTAGTAGTAATAATAATAATAGTAATATTAATAATGGTAATAATAGTTATGTTATTAATAATAATGGTAATAATAATAGTAATTTTTTTCAAATGTATAAACTGCATACAGATACAATTTGTCAGAATGTAGCTTTTATGGAAAATTGTAGTAATTTTTTTTAATAGTTAAATTCATGAGTTGATTTAAGTTAGACAATCATAGAGAACTTGAATACTTTAGATGGATGTTTTGTTTTAGTAATGGGATTTTTCAGTAGTGTATATACAATGATCCTATAAATGAAACTCGAACCTAAGGCTTATCGGTTTTGCTCATGAACGTTTAAACTTTAAACCAGTAAGCCGGCACCCAACACTATTATTGTAGAACTTTGTTATATCTAGAGTTTATATTCTTGATATACCACGTAAAAATTGAGCGCTCGAAAGCTAGAACCCTTCCAAGTCGCAATGAGAAGACAGAAGACAGGTGAAAGAAATGTTATTCCAAACAGTGTCAATTATGGTACAAAACTGTCAAGTATTTATAGTTTATAGTAAAAACGAAATCATCACTATACCTATTCAATCCGCATACAGGGGATTATTAGAATTGTCCAATCGGGAAGCTACACGTAGAGATCCTATGATATTCTTGCAAAAGATGACTGGACAGAATATCTTCGACTCTTTCTGAGATTTTTAGAGCTTCATTGAGTTAACCCGTGTACCGTCCTCACAAACTTTAACTAATCCATCGTCTTCAATGAGTTACTATCTCACAACAGACACGGTTAAACTCCATAAGTGACGGCTTCTCACTAAATTTACTGAAAACACCTTTTGAAGCCAGTCGCTAGTGAGCAAATGATGATTATTATCAGATCCAGTTTGTCTAATAAATATGTATATTTTATTTAGTTAGGTAATATATAAATTTACTCAATGGTTTTGTTCAAAATATTCGGTGAGACCTTTGACTGACACTAAAATGACCCTGAGAGTGTCCACCTAGTAACTAGAACCAAATGAGGGTTATAAACCTGTGCGAGGAATTCGAATGATGATTTACAATTGACGACTAAGTTTAGGAACTAGATTTCGGTTTTTCTTCACGAACTGACATCAGCTATGATGCCAAAACTCTATTTAGTCAAATGGTTGAGTGAATTAAGCGCCAAAATCCGACACCTGATTGGTTCATCTATAAATTATAGTCTGGCCGAAAATTCATATGTGCGTATTTTCACTTACTTACATACTCCTGATACCACTCATAGAGGAGCATAGGCCACCCACCAGTATTATCAATCGAACTGTGTCCCGAGCGACCCTTTCTAATTGTGCCCGGATGTTATTCATTCCTTTGACGTCCGCTTTTAATTCCCGACGTAATTCAGAGTATTCTAGAGAGCTAAAAGTAATATCGTAGTAAAAAATCTTCAGTAAGAATGTATACTCGTTTTGCAACAGGTGGTTATTCTAAGTTAATTACTTGATTTAATATGAAAAAAGCTTATGAATTGGAATTTCAGGCAGTATTTGGAAATTCATTCACAGCATGAATTCACTAATATAGTGAGATTTTTTGCAATACCTAACATTCTGTGCAGTTATTTAAGTTACATTTAGTTTATATCTGACGTGACTACCGATCACTCCGTATTTCCAATATACACGACCAATGCTTTGACTACATTTATGATTGAATACTAACGATTGAAAAAAACGTTTCATACTAATAAGGTAGAAATGAGAAAAATAACAAGCAAAAAAACTCATATTTTATTGGCAGATAAACATCATACCCACTGTAAAAATGACAAAAGTTATTGAACTCTTGATGCAATACCGACGGGTTCAATAGACAACATTTCCATCCAGCTTGTATAACTTCACTTTATCTCTCATGCTTCTAGCTTTTTATGGAATATACCTCACCGTTTAGACTTCGACTTCTTTCTGTAGTTAGCAGGGTGCTGGTATGCAACAGAATAGCTAGTTTATTGGTCTTTGGTCACCGAATCTTTGTTCCGTTCGCAGACTAATTGAACTTCTAACCACTTTAAACCTAGCAGTTTTTACATTGAAACTTGAGCTTAGTATCTTTTGTTTGAAATATAAAAAGCAACTTATTTATGAATCAACTGAGTCTTGACTCATGTTGATGATTGTCTTATAAGGCTTCTGATATTTTAAGATTAACAATCAAATACAAATTTCATCGGGTTAATTAAAAACGTCGGATATTGCTCTTGTATTTCAAATACCAAAGAGTCAATAATATTGAATGATTAAAGGTAATAAAGAATATATGAACCAATTTATAAAATACATCGATACATTATGAGTGGCAGAATTCAGTCATCTTCAAAATCTAGTAAAACTCAAATAGTATACACTACTTATAATAGTGCTAAGAAATGAAGGATCTTCAAGCATATAAACTCAGTGATTTTAGTGATTTTGCGAGTTATCACTTATTTATTTTGTTACTTACTCACTTATTTACGCCTCTTACCTGTCGTGGAGGAGCATAAGCCGCCCACAAGCACTCTCCATCCAACTCGGTCTTGGCCAATCCTTTCCAGTTTTTTCCAGTCGCTATTCATCATCAGTATAGGGGTTTTGGAGTTTATTAGCTTTTTGATTTAGATCACCAGTGTAAACATGGAAACACTGGACGGCTGTTTCGTCCTATTATGTGACTCCTCAGCAGTGCTCATCCATGATCCCGCTCGCGGGATTCGAATAGTGTTGGTAGAAGTTTTCAAACTATATTTTCCCATAGTATTTATGTTTCTAAGCAATGATTGATACAGAAATCATTGTTCTTGTTTTGAACTAATGTTTATTGTCGTTTGTAGGTAAGTTACAGAAATAAAATAGTCTATTTTTGACTGTTATAGGTTTCTTACACATAATAGTTGACTGTTTTACGTAATATGCTTAACGAATGAAACATTCATACAGTAAAATAGACTTGGCTTTTGTATAATTAAGTAGAATAAATATAGTAATAGTGCTTGATGAAAGTAACGAAGGATATACATATATCAAAGTGATTTGTTTAATGGTACAATGTTATATATCGTAATATTTCTTGGTAGTTCAATGAGCAACGCTTTGAACGATTTAACATTATATCTTATAAAACACGTAAGCATTCTAATGAGTTTTTGATGGAGTTTTGTTCTCTGAGCTGGATGGTTTGGTTCTGGAGCTTTCATCGTTCTCCAACATCATCAGCACAAACTTCAGATAGAAGTAAAGTGTTTGAATTTCTCCATATGCGTTTTACAGCCTGTTCTGTGCATCTCGACGTTGATTTAAGATCAATAAGAACTAATCATCAAAATCATCCACCTGAACTACAAATCTTCTCCACCATCGCGATTCTAATGAGTCTCAACTGCTCTGAGAATGATCGTAAAAAAAACTGAGAAAATACGTAATTTAGTCGCTAATATTACATAAATAGCGACATTTTGACACATTGAAATGCTAAATACTGAAACAGCACTGGAAAGTCAGTGAGAGAATACACAAAATCAAACATACCATCTATTAAGGTTAGTCAAGATAATAAAAATAATAAATTTATTCGGATTCCAATTGGTTTTTAAGCCGAGTTTTGAAATTATAAGTGCTTCCAGGTTTTTCACGGTAGTATAGCTTCAATTGACTCATGATCTCAACTACTGAAATTACCATAATATCTACAAAACCGATTCTGATACTAATCAACATATGCTCACTAGTGATTGCCTTCAACAGGTATTTCCTGGAGTTCTAGTGAAAAGAAGTGACCAGTGGAGATCAACTTCGTTAATTGTGATATAGTAACTCAACGATGAAAATGGTGGATGCGTGGCTTAATTTCATGGATTAGTTGAAGTTAGACATTAACATCATTGGATGCCGGATCAGTGGTCTAGAAGTTAACCATTCGCGCGCAAGACTTATAGGTCTTGGGTTCGAATCCTGCGGGGCGGGATGGTGGATATGCATTGCTGAGGAGTTCCACAACAGGACGAAATGGCCGTCCAGTGCTTCCGAGTTTTTCATGTTGGTCTAGATTCAATAAACTTATGATCTCAACTGTTGAAATTACTACAAACTCCACAAAACCCCTTCTGATCCTAATTTAATTATTATTAAACCTGTTTCCAAATATCATTATCATTAACTATTAACTTGACTACGGATCTTATGTTAAATGTTTCATGGTTTTATTGTTCTACAATTTTTTTATTCTACTCATCTGTGTTTTACCGACTTACACATGACAATTATAATACACAATTAGTGCCTTTTATAAATTTCAATAGAGCAATTAGAAGATGAAATTGATCTGAAAAAACTGTGAAGCCTTGGTTATTCATAAACTTGAGCCCCCTACCTGTTTTATGTGTACAAAAATAATTTGTCGTAACCTTGAACTTACCCAGGTCATTACTCTTAAGTCATTTTATGACATGGGAGGTTGATCATGAATACAGTGGTCTTGAGTGCTGTTAGAGGCATGAGGGCGATTATCACTTCCCGGTTGCCCACACCATAGAACGGTTCTTCTGGAGGTATCTGAAAAGGAAATTGGATTAGAGGTGGTCTTAGTGACCTGAGAGCGTGACCACAGTGCCCAAGGGACAACTGCTTGAGGTCAATTACACACGATCTTTCTGTGAGTAAATTTCGTGTTAGCTCCGTACTTGTTGAGACTTTACCTCCGGAGACGGATATCCGTGGTCTAAGGCGAGTTGTGCATTTTTAGGGTCGACTTTTTCTGACCCCACCCCTCCTTGTGGGAAGGCAGCATCGCTGTTATGCTGGTTGTCTGAAGGCAACACCTTACTGCTGTCACACCTCTGTATAGTCAGCAGTAGGACTTCGCCTTCGGACCTTGGGTTTGTTGATTTTAATCTTACCGTTCTTCAACCGACCTGTCTGACATGGTAGGACCTTGAGGAACGGTTGTTCCAGCTAGTATAGCTCGGTTGCTTCATCATGATAGGCAAGCCCGACCACCACTTGAAGGTAGTAACAACGGTCGGGTTATGACACAAATTAATGTGACAGTTTTTTTATTCTTTCTATAATGATGTAAAATGTTTCTCTCCGCCTTGTTACCTCTTTTTTTCTTTAACTTGAACTTTCATGTAATTGACCTTTATTAATTTTCA